TGCAGGTACGTTACCTAGCTGAAGGCAGATGGTTAAACATGTAAATATTATGAAGTCCCACAACTGATTGAATATGAGATTTGTAGACGACTACAGATTGAAGGCTAAGTAAGTACCGTTTTTGGGGATTTATAGAAATCGGTAGTGTAAATTTCCTGAAATAGAGAAAACTTGTACATGACAGGTATTTTAATCTATGTTACCACGGGCTAGAATAAAATTTACAAATTATATTTTCACAGAGTCATTTATTTTTAAGTTAACATTTTGTATTTTTTTTTTTTATAATAGATTAAATCTCAGAAACTAGGTTTACAATTGGAACTTTTAGAATTAAGTTTAGAAGCTACACCAAGTAGCTTCTAAATGATTGCTAATATTAATTTTGTGTACAAATATTAGGAGCAGTCATATTGCAGAAAATTAGTATTAAAATGTAACTACTTAATTTTAGTCAACCGTTTTGCTGTCAAAACTGATTGGTTTAAGCTTCTGTTGACAAAGAAATTATATTTCTCGAGAACAGAATAGAGGAGTGAATATAATTTAGAACATTTATTTTACCATAGTGCTCCATTTTAACCAATTCACACTACGATTCGTTGATGCAATAATGAAACAAAAGCTTGAATCAAGGTCGAGGGACATTTCATGAGCAGTTTGGTGCACAGATGACAAAGAAATCTTAAAAGTGATAAAAATGAACAACATGAGTTAGGCCTAATACATAGGCTAATGATGATTGTGAATTCTTTGAAATGAGATCAGCAAAGCAAAGGCAAAAGAAGAATGTGATAAAAGGGTAATTATAAACATAAGACGACAACTAAAAGAAGTACAAAGTTTGAAGTATTTAGGGAACATGATAACACAAGCTGGAAGAAGCGGCAGAAGTATGAAGTAGGCCTACCGCATAGTAACTAGGAAGGATTTTTTTTTTACTAGGAAGTTTAAATAAATATTAAGAATATTAAAACACGTTTTACAGTGTTGTTTTGTCAGAGAGCTGTTGCTGGACCTTGAGGAATGAAAAGAAAGATCAGTTGAACGCTTTTGATATGTGGATTTGAAGAAAATTTATAAATTTGAAGATAAATAGGGAGGTACTGTATAACGAAGGGTAGACCTAAATGAAGAGACAGTGCTGAATAAAAATGATGAAAAGAGAAAAGTGGGTTGATCATATACTTACATTAAACGGTTAACTGAAAGTCTTTTGAAGAAAGATTTGAAAAGAAGAGAAGAAAATTGGAGGGCGGAAATAAAGGAGATGATGACTTGGAATGTGCAACTTTGCTGTGATCAAGAGGAAGACAATTTACATTAAATGGAGGAACTATTAGCAACTAACGCATACGAAAAAATATTTCAATAAGTAGTTCTCATTAATTTTTTTTTATTGATAATGTGTTCGTGTGTGTAATTATGTACAGCTTATTGGGGTATTCTTCTGAAATTCTGATTTAAGCTATTTTGACGATTTTTGTCGGTACCTTTTAATTAGTCCTAGTGCATGCCTATGGATAACTGGTATAGTCATGTAATTTAAGTTCCACATTTTATTATTTGCCTGTTAAAGCCTACACGCGGCGGCCCTGTTAAACCACACTAAACGCTCTGCTGAACCTATTCAGCACATTAAGTCCAAATATGCGACAACAACGCCACAGTAAACCAACCTAATAATAATAATAATAATAATAATAATAATAATAATAATAATATTATTATTATTATTATTATTATCATTATTATTATTATTATTATTATTATTATTATTTTTATTATTATTATTATTATTATTATTATTATTATTATTATTATTATTATTACTAATATTATTATTACTAATATTATTATTACTAATTATTACTTCACCAAACAACCAATTCAGCACATCAAGTCAAAATCTGCGACAACAACGCTACAGTCAATCAACTTAAAATATTTACATTCTACTGTAACCTGCAGACGTATCTACAGAGAAACTTCACCATTATGGCAAACACCATCAATTTTCCAGAGATATGGGAGATAATATCACCCTCTTCCAACAAACTCACTGCGAGACTGAAACATTTAGCTTGTTGAAGACGGATCTTTCACTGTGAATTTGGACTTCAACTAACGAATAAGATAGTTGTCATTGTCTTTTGCCTGTTAAGTATTTATTATCTATCTATCTATTTATGTATTTTTGTAATTTAAATTCTCCTCTTTGTATGTTTATATTCATATCACTATGTTCCTTGTAAGTTGAAGTTGAAATAGTTATCACTTCATTAGTCCATGATGATATGCTTTTGAAATATTTTGTATTAATTGTTAGTATTTTTCTTGACGTCTCGACCATTCGTTTGCGTTTGCGTATTAATTCTTTTGATTTTGTTTTGAATCGTTATATTCAAAATAGTTTAGATAGTACATTATTTTTCTGTATATTTGAATAATAAAAGCGACTTTTTAAAAACAAATAATAATGGTTATTCTTCTTATTATTATTATCATTATTATTACTATTATTATTAATATTATTATTATTATTATTATTGTTCTTATAATAATAAAAATAATAATAATAATAATAATTTATTATTATTATTATTGAAATATTATTATTTACATTTCCAAGACACCCGGATACCATAGAACTAATTATTTTCATAATAAATATTTATATTTTTATTATCTATATATTTATTATATTCTTTGTAATAACTTACTTAAATTGCTTGTTGAATGTGTACATTCTCCTCTTCCTTGTATTGTCTTTTTTTCATGTATCGATCCCTCCTGTTTATATAGCCACTTGTCTGGTGTCTAGGGAGTTGTTTTTTCTCGTTTTATTCAAGTAATTGTACTTTATTTTTCTGTATATTTTCATAAAATTTATTTTTGAAAACAATATTTTTTATGATTATTTTCCTTATTGTTGTTGTTATTATTACTGTTATTGTTGTTTATTATTACTAATAATTTTATTATTAGGCCTACTAATAGTATTTTCACTAATAATGTTATTTACGTTATTATACATTATGTCTTACCTTGTAGGGTGCTTACAATCGGTCGTCTAGTTGGGCCCGCAGTGCTATCATCTTGTCCAGAAATCAAAGTTGAACCGATGCACATAAACACGAGGAATAATTCAAAGGAAAAAATAGCATAAGACCCCATCTTTAAATATTAATACGTCTTACTGTGAAGTTGAGCTGCCTCAGAATAATTAAAATTGGCTTAAAAGGTTAAAGTGAATAGATAATCGATTTTACCATAGAGATATACATATTGGGTAATATAGCTATTAATCTAAGTTAATGATACAGCAATTCTACACGCACTGTAGTATAGCATAAATCAATATGACACCTTCTCATCTTAATTAATTAATAAATCTTTTGTGTTATTTCTAATGTAAGAAAGTATAATACATACAAGTATTGAATTGCAGCCTATAATGTTGGATTGGGATTCAAAATTTCGACATTATTTATGTCGTCATTAGGAATGAAAAATTATCCATAATTACAAGCTTATATACAACAAATACCAAAGTGTTTAACCAATCAAAACATTATCTTTAGTAGATGACATATACATTTATATATATAATATATATATAATATATATATATATATATATATATATATATAAGATAAGTTTTCTTAGACAGATATAAGATAAGTTTTCTTTTATTGAACAATATGTATTTTACTAGTTAAGTTAAGATACAATATTTATTTCACTGTAAAGTTAGATATTTGTACGACACACTTTTTAAGTGCCACCTATGTAAATGGTATAATTTATCCATTCAAGCAACTAATGCAATGAACTGTAAATCAGATTTGAATTCCCAACTCAAGAGCTCAAAAACATTGGTTAAGGCATCGAATCCCAGTTTTTTCACACTCGCAGATTTCTTTTCTTCATTTATAATGGAACACTGAGCCGGGAAAAACTGTACTGTATACTTATCCAAACGTGTATATGCGGGGGTGGGTGGGTGTGTGTGTATGTACATGTAGGCCTATATATAAAGTTTTCTTTTATTTAACAATATGTAATTTACTGGTTATACGTTAAGATACAATATGTATTCCACTAATTAAGGTAAGATACAATGCATTTCTATAAGATATTTTTACTACGCACTTGTTAAGTGCCACAAATTTAAATGGTAGGCCTATAATTTATCTATTCAAGAAACTAAATGCAATGTATTGTTGGTCGATTGCAATGTACCGTATAATAACGTTGCATATCATTAATCACAGAAAAGTATCATATTATTTACATCTCACATTAGTAGTAGTAGGTACCTAGGCCTATTAATAACCCTGGGTGAAGAGAGGTACGGTAGGTGAGTGCCTTCTCTACGACGGCCATACTGGTACGACTTCGGCCGAAATAGAATTATTCGAACTGATGCTCTTGGATAACATTTTATTACCATTGTTTTACCTTGCGGATATTAACTAAATTGGTCAAGTAAACGTGTTATCGGAGCTTCAGGGACTTTACCCCCTGGATCTCACTGGAGATTCAGGGGGAACTTCAAAGAAAACCTTAGACATGGCTTTGTAGATGCATTGCCAAATTGTTCGCGCTGTATCTCAGCAAATCAAATATATCATAATTTAAAACAATGACTCCTTGAATGCAACTTTATCATAATCATAACGTTTATACGTGGAACTGTCACGTTGGTGAAGTAGGTTTGGATGTTGGATGTGTATAGACGACACAAGACTCAACAGCCGATTTTGTGTATAATTGTAATTTATTAAATTGAGTAATCAAGTGAAAAATTCAAAGTTGAAAGTATAAAAACACTTGTTTCGGAAAGAGTATAAAAATAATGGTTGTCCTTTGAGAGAATGGAAACTACAACTCACTAAGATACTGCGATGGAACCTATGTAGTGTGTTAGGTTTTCTGACCAATAGAGTCTTCATTGGTCACTCCCTTTGCTTGTACATTCCAATGTGCTGACACTGCTGACCACAACATAAACTTACTTTCAGTTTTCCCTGAACGTTTCAGTTAATGCCTACCAAGCCTTATACATTTAGACTTCTTCAACATTTATTACACTATAATAAAAATTAATCATAAACATAATAAATTTGCCAATGAAATTAGTAAAGCATATGTATGAGAAATATGAAAATTAAAGTCAAATAAATATGTTAAGAACAAAATAATAGTTATTGAAATTATGGTTTAGATCAGGTCTAGAGGTGTCAACTTGTCTCAACCGGACCCATTAAAATAAACTAAAAAAAAAATTAAAATTAAAATTGAAGAAACTAAAAGTCAAAATGAATAGACGATACATACACTAGGCTTAATTATTGCATTAATAACATTCGGCTTGTGTTTGGTTCTCGTTGCCAGGTAAAACAGTCTCCTTCTATATAGCTATTATATAGGGCCTATTTATTGGATTCAGATTTGCAACAATGGCATATTAAATAGACGCTACATACACTAGGCTTAATTATTGCATTAAGCCTAGTGGCTTGTGTTTGGTTCTCGTTGCCATGTAAAAACAGTCTCCTTCTATATTGTATATTATATTGGATTCACTTTGGCAACAATGGCATAATATTCAATACTTATTGGTGCAGCCAACCAAAAAAAAAAGAGGAAAAAAAAAGAAACTAAAAAAGAAACCAAAAAAAAAAGGAAAGAAAAATGAAATTTACTCAAATTGAAAGCAAAAATTAGAACAGAAACACGGATGAATGGAGGGCCCATAAATATATGACAGAAATGATATATATAGAGTAAGCATATAACGGTAATAGGCCTACGTCTAACAACTTTTTTAATACAGCGCATAGTATCAATTTGTATACAGAACACATTACGTCATCGTTATGATAGCCAATTGTATCATTCGTTCTCAT